GGGAGGCGGCCGCCTCCTCAGGGCCCACAGGCTCCGGCCCTCCACTCCTCAAGGTACTGCGAGTGATCTAAGAACAGCCGCTCGCGTGAAAGGGATCAAAGTAAAACACGGAGGAATCTGGAAACAGGGACGCTACGGGGCTGCGGATTTAGCTCAGTGGTTCCTCGCCTGCCTCGCAAGCGCGAGGTCCCGGTACCAAAGCAACACAAAAAACCAAAACAATGACTATAAATCATGTTGTCTGAGAAATGTATCCATGAAATAAGAATAGGATGCTAGAAAGGGGAAACTTGCAGACGATTAGCAAGCTTTGAAAAATTGAAAAGATAAATAAAAATTCAATGGGAAAGTTGGAAGATAAAGCCGAGAAAATCTAGGTAGAATTTAAAGGGAAAGAATGGAAGTGGAAAGAGAGAAGAAACAGAGATCAGTCTGGCAGGTCTAATAAATGAGTTCCCAGAACGGGGAGAAAGGGGACAAACGTCATCGGTGAAAATTTCAAGATTTCTCCAAACTGAAGAATAGAAATTTTCCAATTAAAAGGGCACACGCAATGTGTAGCCTGGTGGACAGATCTGACTAGCTGGGCGTGCTGGTGCAGGCCTGTAATCCCAGCAGTCCGGGAGGCTGAGGCAGAAAGGTCCCAAGTTCAAGCCCAGCCTGGGCAACTTAGTGAGACCCTGTCTCAAATAAAAAATAAAAAGGTCTGGGGGCATAACTCAGTTCAAAGGGCCTAAATCATCAGGACCAGGGTGGCAGTGATGGAGACCATGAAGCTATTCACTGAACTTTCAGGTAGTAAGATTCCTGATGGTGACCCTATGCTTAGCCAGTGGAAGGGTAGAAGGGTGACATTTTCAGACACAAACCCTAAGAACAATCAAAAAAGGACATTTTGACACATCTGGACAACAGGTAATTTGTGGCTGAATTAGTGATATTTTAAACACTAAGCAAATGCAAGATAAAACAATAATTAGTTCAACTGCAAACAGTGAAGTCTAGGAAATTAAAAACAACATACTTCAGTGTTTCTTAACATCAATATGCCTTGCTGGGTGTGGTGGCACACGCCTGTAGTCCCAGCACTCGGGAGGCTGAGGCAGGGGGATCGCTGAGTTTGAGGCCTGAACTACAAAAGGAGACCCTGCCTCAAAAAAAACCAAACCAAACCAAAACAAACCAAAACAAAAAACCCAAAATTAATCTGATTTAAGAAACACCTGGGGTCTGGGGATTTAGCTCAGTGGTTTCCGCACCTGCCTTGCAAGTGTTAAGTCCTGAGTTCAATCCCCAGTACCAAAAAAAAAAAAAAAAAAAAAAAAAA